CCCCTTCTCGATCTCTCCGATTCGATTCGATTCGAATCGAGAGCAGCTGAAACGACGCCGCCGCGATGGGCGATTTCAACCTCGCGCTCGTCATCGTCGCCATTGTTCTCTGCATCATCGTCTTCGTCTTCAATGTCTACCTGCTCGTCAATTACCAGCACCCCGACGATAAGAACCAGGCATACTTCCCCAAATTCGTCGTCGTTTTGGGGCTCTCCGTCGCCGCGATTTCAATACTAATGCTGCCGGCCGACGTGGCCAACCGCCAGGCGTGTCGCCACGCGATATATAATGGCGCGTGCAATCTCACTCTCCCGATGAAGGATCTGTGGCTCGCAATCTATATCCTTGACGCCGTGCTCGTGTTCTTCATCATCCCCTTCGCTATGTTCTACTACGAAGGAGACCAGGACAAGTAGGTACTTCTAGGGTTTTTGATCGAAATTATCATTTTTATACAAATGTACGTCAGATTTTTGCGCGTATTCAGCTTTCTATTGTTGGTTTATGAATTGGGTTTTTGTTTTTGTGTTCAGGAGTGTTGGAAAACGGATTGGAAGCGCTTTGTTGTGGGTAGGGGTGACTGCCATTGTCTGCGCTCTTGTACTCGGAATCTTATACGGTTAGTTCCCTTCACTTGTCATTTTCATCTGAACATTTATTGCTTTGCACTGAAAGAATTGTTCTTTTTTGGACAATTGTGCGTCACGAGTTGTAAGTATTTTTTTGGTTAAATTTTGATTCTTTATTGTACATGTTTTGTTAGAAGACTCTGGATTGTGTGTCGTTTGTTTACTCTTTGATTGTTTATCAGGGCTAGTTGGGAAGGTGGACTTTACTATTAGGCACCTCTCTTCTTCCACAGCTTCCTTTCCCAGTTCATTTGACTTTTCTAGCAATAATGAATGCATAAATGGCGCAAAGACGGTATGAGCTTGTCACATGTGTTTTATTGGCCTATGATTACACCATCTTGGTCCTCTTACTCATATTGGTTTTATTTGTGTCCTGCTTCTCTTGTCCTTACAGTGCTCTGCATATCTTACAAGTGATACATCAGAGAAAACATGGACAATGCGTACTACCTTTCCAGAATATGTCGTTGCTCTTGCTACCATTGTTGGATCCGTGCTTTTTACCGTAAGTTTGTTCCCAGAAATCGTCACATATTTGTGTTGTTATTGAATATGCATGTGATAACTGGGGAGTCTTTACCCATTTTTAGATAAATGAGTGTGGATGATGAAAAGAGATCAGCTTCTTCTGTTTAAATCTTGAGAACTATTGTTTGGATAACTTGGCTACGGTCCAGCGGAGCAACATGCCTCTCATGAGTTCATTAGACTACCTTTCTTCTTTTGCAAGATACTATGTATGTATATACAGATATATATGTCTGTGTGGAAATATGTTAATTTTTATGTGTGTGTGTATAGTCAACAAAAATATTATAGTGACATTGCATTTTCCCATCTACTTTTTATATGGTATAAAATATATTAAATCTACATCCTTCTATATCATCCAGATATTTGGTGGTATTGGCATTGCTTGTCTACCGCTGGGACTCATATTTTCATTCATCCGGCGTCCAAAGGCTGTTATTACTCGGTCACAGTATATCAAGGTACTACTTTATTTTCTATCAAGCGTAAAGTTTAAGATGATGAAGATTGTTTGGATTGCTTATGGGTAGTTTTCCTTGTTATATTCTAGGAAGCTACTGAACTGGGCAAGAAAGCGAAAGAGTTGAAGAAAGCAGCTGATGCGCTTCATCAAGAAGAAAGAGGCGGCTCTAAGGGTAGAAAATGGCGTAAAAATGTAAAGGCAGTGGAAAAGGTATATCCAATTTCTGCATATAGTGTAAATTTTATTTCACAGTTAGGCATCAGTTTTTTTTTTTTTGGGGTTTTGTCTTGTTGTAACAACTTAAGTCATCAAAAGTTTTCTTTGCTTAATTTTGCAGGAGCTGCTTCAATTAGAAGAAGATGTAAAACTTCTAGAAGAGGTGTATCCTCAAGGAGAGAAAGTAAGGGGAATTACATATGTGACTTGTACATTTGATATATATAGCTCTCTTCTATTCTAATTGTCCTGCGTCAATCCAGGCTGAGACTGCTTGGGCTATGACGATTCTTGGGTACTTGGCAAAACTTGTGTTGGGAATTTTAGGGTGAGTGCTGATGTTGTCCATTTAATCATTGTAATATCTAATTATGCTTAATGATGGGCTTCCTGAGATGATTGAGATGAGATAGATATTTGAGTGCAGAAAGTCTTAGACAAGGAAGAAGAAAGATTATGTTTTGGAAGAGAAATTCAAGCATTTGATATAACTTATAATTATAATATATGCATTTCACTATGGTATATTTTTGTTCATGCTCACCGTAGGCAGTGATGTTTGAATATAGCTTGATTATGCTGTAACATTTATTAGCTTGGGTGGTTAGGAATACTTTATTCTCTGTAAGGATATGACGTGTTATCATTCATGATTTTTGTCATAGCATCTACTGCCATAGTTCTTGTTTTCTTGTGTGTCACGCTTTCTTTAATGACTATGATGATTTATTCATACTGAAACCTTTTGCCTGTGTTTTTCAGATTGATTGTTTCAGTGGCTTGGATTGCTCATATCGTCATATATCTATTGATTAGCCCTCCATTTTCTCCTTTCTTGAATGAAGTTTTCATCAAGCTGGATGATGTTTGGGGTACTTTCATAATATATTTCTCTTGCCTCTACATTATATAGTTTCTTCTGAATGAATGAGTTTGATCTGCTTATCTTCTTCATCAGGTCTTTTAGGCACTGTTGCGTTTGCATTCTTCTGCTTCTACCTCCTGCTTGCAGTCATTGCCGGGGCCATGATGCTTGGGATGAAATTAGTTTTCATCGCAATTCATCCGATGAAGTAATGATATTTCTGTTTCCAGCCTTATTTAATAGTTTTTGTGTGCACCTTCATAGTTTAATCACCAAAAGGCTTGGTTGCTCATAAATTTAATTTACTCGTTTCAGGTGGGGTGCTACTCTAATGAATTCATTTTTATTTAACGTGGGACTTATACTGCTTAGCTCCATCAGGTTAGTATCTTTGTGATTCTCATTTACATATTAGATGAAGACTGCATGTTCCCTAAATTTCTGAAGATTTCTATAAATCACGATTGTAATTATTATTGGTTTCCACTGTTTCAGTGTGATTCAGTTCTGCTCCACAGCATTTGCATACTATGCTCAAGCAACTGCAGCACAAGAAATATTTGGTCACACCTTGCAATCTCTTCGTGGAATTAGATATCTGTACAAGTGAGTTGTTCTCTTTTCTCCGATTGAATCTAATTAGACCTGTATGTATGTATGTATGTATGTTCCTACTGATATGGTTATACATTTTGGTATTTGCATTACAGGTACAATGTGTTCCAAATTGCATTTGTTGCCCTGGCGGGACTGACGTTTGTGTACTATGCTGCTTTTGTATGTTTTCTAACTGTATATTCTTTTTTTCTTTCTTTTCAGTTTATTAGTCTTTTCTATTGGCTTTCAAGAGTAAAGTATTATTGGTTTAAAATTTCAGGGATGGAGAAGAAAAAAACCTAGCGGCAGGTTCCAACTTTCGTCCTAATTTACGTTTTCCCTAGAACAGCATGCACCGACTTGTAGCTGTTGGAATTCCTGGATTCATCATCTCTTTACGGAGTGATTTTCACATTCGGATGCGTATGCCTAGTTTTGATCTAACGTTGAAAGGTTTTGGAGGAGTAGGCGGAAATATCCGAGTTTGCATTGGGTTAGTGCAGGGGGAGTGGCATGTTCAGTGTTCTGCTGCTGCCACCGCGGTTTGTTTTCCCCCGTTTGTATGTAAATTTCCTTTATTTGACTTCTTTTGTTACAAATTGGTCTGGTCTTGTAATCGTGTTAATCCTTTGCAGACGTGGAAACTGGGTCCCTGGAACTGCCCTTGATGTAACATAACCACTGGGAACAAATTATTGTACGAGCAACCAATTTTAGTTTCATTTTTGCTCACATTTACGGGTAGCAATTTTAGACACGACACTTTGTGACTCAAAATATAGACTCTACTTGCCCGTGACGCTGTGTTCAGCAGTGCCATCGGCCCTGGGCGGGTCATAAGGCGAATCCTCTGCGAATTTCTGTTGGTAACGATATCCTGTGTAGGCTGGGCTTCCAGTCTGCTTATCTAACCACCTTCAGTATGTCCTCCTCCACAACTGCGTTCCCTTAAGACGAAAAATGGATTCCATCCGTCCCAGTTCAAGTGGTAAACCCAACGATTAATCTTCAATCAATATCGGATTAAGTGGAAAGACAAATTACTATGTGGAAACTGCACGTACTTAAAGCAGACAATAGGCCAGTCTTTTGTTTTCTGAATTGAAGTCCATAGATCAACAGCCATGACATCGTACTCCCTTCACGCCTCTAAACAAGCATCTGAATACATTTTGCAGCACTCGTTTGTTCGAACCTGCTCCAGAATTCTGCCACTGATTTTGGTTTGAAACCAAGCTGTTACGGTTGATTGGCAAAATAAAGAAACTAACACAAAATCATCGCCGTAGACCCATAAGCACCTGTAACTTAGATGTATTTGTTCCTCGTTGAGAGGAGGAGCAGTAAGAGAGATGATACGAACCAAATGTTTCTCTTCTGCATATTTTCATGTACAGCTGGATCCAGACTTAGAGCAGTGCTGGAGCTCAGTCAATAATCTGTAGTTAGTGTCTGAATGGAGGGAAACCAAGAGAAAACTTGGACTGCAAGTATCAGAAACCTTGGTACGGATGTCTGCAGTTTGATTTTTTCTGCAGACATATAGAACTTTTGAGAGATGACAAGGACAAGCTATACGATGACCTGGACTCGGTTCGCTTCGCTGACTTGGATCCTTATGTGTCTCAATAGTAACAGCCTTAACGTGAAGGTTGGGGGCCAATCATTGTGTAACCTCAACATTATACATATATATATAAATAGTAAACTTTGACGATTATAATATAATCCATCTTAAGAAGGGTACCAATACCCTTAATAATAGACGGGCAACATAAAATTTTCCATGGATTAATTCTGGAGACGTTTTTCCAAAATTTTCCATGGATTATAATTCTCCTTTTGGTACAAAGGAGGCCTTAGGCCGAAGACGTGAGAGTTAAACTCTTGCCGTGGACTTGAATGCTCTCTACTATTGGATCTACATCAAGTGCTTAATTATGATCACTTATGCAAAGTACTCTTAGTATCAAGCTTAAATATCAATATCCGTTGCCTTCGGCCATATGATTCAGCTAGGTTTCTGCTAATCATATATCTTAAATCTCATTGCTAAGCCCCCACTTCATCGGACTCGCCGCAACGCTCTGCTCAGCAATGTTCACAGTTGTGGTTCCATCAGCACCGGGCGGGTCATAAGGTGAATCTTCCGAAAATTCTGTTGGCAACGACTTCCAGTGTAGGCAGGGCTCCCAGTCTGCTTCCCTAAGAACCTTCAGTATCTCCTCCGCCACAATCTTGCTCCCTTCGGATGAAAAATGGATTCCATCCCTGGACAGAACAGTACCAAACACACACACCCACCCATCCCACAAATGGTAAGTCCAACGATTAGCTTAATTAAGTGGAGTTGATAAACAATATAATGCCTGATTAATTGGAAAGATAATTTACATATGAAATTATACGTACCTAAAGCAAGTAGTAGACCAGTCTTTTCTTTTCTGAATTGAAGTCCACAAATCAACACCCTTGACATCAAACTCCCGGCACACCTCTAAACAAGCATCCGAATATATTTTGCAGGACTCATTTGTTCGCTTCTGCGGCGAAGTTTGGTCACTGATTTTGTGTTTAGAAAGAACGAGATAAAGAAAACAAAGCTCTTAGAACAGATCAGAAAAAGGAAAGATAGAACTCATCACTACAAAGCACCTCAAATTTTCACGTATTTGTTCCTCGTTGACAGGAGGAGCAGTAAGAAAGATGACCCGAGTTTTTTCTGAAAGGCTCTGGCAAAAAATATGTATCCGTTAGTACTGTTAGATTTATATGCATTACACACCAAGAAGTTGCTTATATAAATGTCATGATCCATGATTCCGGATCTGTATATTTTCACTGTTCTACAGATCATCACCTTTAAATGTTTAGCAATCTTCCGCATATTTTCTACATATTCTTTAAGTGGTACATGAGCACCTAGGCCCGACGGATGAGGATGCATTGAATCGTTACCACCGAAATAAACTATCACCAAAGACGGCTGAGTTGTAGCATCCTGTATATGTCAAATTTAATCACACACATCAGCATCAAAACTACTACGTATTAGGAAGAAGTATCTCGTATTCAATTTTCAGACACCAATCGTACGAGCTATGTTCTATATGTTCTTGCACCTAAGTTTGAATTTAGTATATGCAAGCATAAACGCGCAGACATGCTATACTGATAGTTGGATTTGACACAAATGTTGAAGTCAGTGCGTCGTTGATGTGAATTTATACAGCCCCTTGAATGCTTTGCCCATAAAGTCCCTAAGGCGAGATGTTGATGAACATATACCTTAGGAAAAACTTGGTCCAAAACTTGCAGAGCACGCCTCGAGTTCCAACCAGCATATCCTCGCAGCAGTACGTCCGCCTATGCTCGAAAAGATTAAGATCAGTGATGTTATAATTAACATGAAACTTTATAAACATTTCATCTTTAGCAGTTCTCATTTTTTGTGACAGAGATAGATGAGAAGTATGCGAGAGAAATGACGGAAATAAAGAATGGAGGAAAGATGATAGAGATGTAGAAGAAATTTAATAGAAAGGCACACAAAATGAAGACTAAAACCGAAAAATCGTTTTAAGGTTTTTTCATTTTCAAGATTTTGCTTTCATTATTTCTTCTTTATCTCTTGTTTTCCCTCATATACATTTCTCATATTTCAAGCATGAAGGGTGAAAATTAAAAACAAAAAACAAAAGGGGTACAAAATAGAAGTTCTCTTAAACAAGGATAAAACTAAAAGACAACTACAGTACAAATTTACCAACAAACTAAAGAGACCCTGGAGGAGAATGGAAAAATAAATATAAACTGGGAAAAAAACATAAATAAAAGAAGAGTAAATTGTAGCAATGGTTCCTCAACTTTAATCCAATTGGAGCAATGGTCCCTTAACTAAAAATCCATTACCATTGGTCCCTCAACTTATCAAAATGTGTAGCTATAATCTTTTTCATCAATTTCTTCAAAATTTTGTCAAAATAAGTTATGTTGGAATAACCATTTATATAATTAGGATCCCTCAACTCATCAAAGTGTGTAATTATGGTCATTTTTGTCAACTACGTCAAATTTTTTGTTAAAACGAGTTATGTTGGAAGAACCATTGCTACAATTGGGTTAAAGTTAAGGGACCATTTCTCTAGTTGAATTAAAGTTGAGGGACCAATGGTAATGGATTTTTAGTTGAGGGACCATAGCTGCACGCTTTGATGAGTTTATGGACCAATGGTAATAGATTTTTAGTTGAGTGACCATTGCTACAATTAAGTTAAAGTTAAAGGATTATAACTACAATTTACTCATAAAAGAAATACATATTGATCTTTAGAAAAAAGAGAGAAATATTACTTGTACATGACTCGTCATTTCAATGCGTAATAATTTTGAAATAATACGTATATGAAAAGACTAATCGTGCACAGCCTTCCTTCTTGCACCAATATATTTGACAACGATGCACAAACAAATATATATATATATATATATATATATATATATATATATATGGAAATCAAAACTACTTTCACTTTGGAAAAGTAACTATCAGATAAATCCAATATTTCGTACCTCATTCATCGAATCTTCCTTTCTTGATTGGTCGTTTAAAAGAAGAGGGCGGAAAGTAAAGTATGAGGCCAGGTCCCCATTGTCAAAAATCCAAAATTCATCCTAATGGTGGTCCAAACATTGCTTTAACAACTAGTTCTAATTAGCTACCATAATTAATTCCATAATAATTACTTGGGTTAACATCATTTCCACTCTTCATGTTTAAGCTGATTTTCGAAATATACCACAAAAATTTTAATTTTCTCATATTGTACTAGTTCTGAAATTGATGGTGTGATGGGTGAAAGACCATTTTTTAGGTTGACATATAAGCCACACTGCACCACGCGGACGAACAAATGAATCATCATCAGCTTTTGCTTCACTTAAATCAATGTTGTAATATATAACAACCCAAGAACAGGTCCCACACATGACAGTTCGTCTATTTACACATGACAGGTCCCATATATATTATATGCAATATAAATAGAGTCAGATTATACTTTTCCCAGAGTAAAATATCCCAATAAACATCAGACTCAGTTGCTGGTGGTCGAGATAATGGGAATATGATCCTTTTTTTAGGGATCCAGATGATCAATCAATCGTGTTCATTTATCGTACATCGTATGATTATAAATTATTTTAAATTAAATATAAATAGTACTTAACGAAAATTGACCGTACGATGTACGATGAACGGACACGATTAATTAAATCCCAGATCCCCACAAAGAGAATTCAGAAAGGATCTTTGTCCGAGATAATGATAATTATACACTAATGGAACATTAAAGAAAAATTAAATAACATAAATTATTGATGGAAACTGACAGTTAAAAGAAAGCTTTTTCTAGCTAGTTCATGAATGTGTGAACTAGAAGAGTTCAAATAAAGATAACAAGATCATGCATATAAGGACATCTAAAAAGATAAGAATGAAAAATGCAAACATTGTCAAGGTGATTTGCTAAGTTGACGGTGGGGTTTACCTACTAACCCGAAAGTTTATGGCGTGTTTAATTTGTGCTTAGCAACATAAGATGGTAACGAATCTCACCAGTTTTATTTACTCTCCACACAACAAATCATTTTAATTCATGCTTATTAGTTAATTACACGTCAACGGAAATACATGCATTAATCTATATATATATGTATATGTATAAACTTAGAGAGATTAATAAAAAGCGTGATGACTCACCCACGACTAAGAATAAAGATTGCCCAACAATCAACATGAAAAGTTCATCAGACATCAATTCATGTCTTTGAAAATTTGATAAAGAAAATCGCTATAAATTTTGTTTATAAGCAATTATAAAACTGAAATTAATTAACCATATATAAAAATTCGTGAGGAAAAGAGATGATGAGAAGAAATTTGATGAAGAACACCTTACGAGCATATAGGTCAGCGAGAATGGCACCCCATCCTCCATGGCTGTAACTGAACTGGACGATGGACGAACCAAATATCACAAACTGAGGTCTTACTGGTCCGACCATCTCTCTCTCTCTCTCTCTCTAGAACACAGTCTCCCGCTAACTCTGTAATTCTCTCTGGCCTGGATACCTTCTTTGCTGCAAATACTACCACGTAATGCCAGAGGTAGGTAGCTTTTATAAACACACTCTTACTTTTCTCTATTTTATTTTTGTAATTCGGAACGCAATTAGGAAACATACTATTCATCACTTGGTTGCGTACACAAGCTGACAACATCACGTGTCAATCACACAAGAACATGGAGATAAACTAACACATATTTTTTTATTTCTTGATACAAAACATTGTAACCATGTTAAATGTCTTTTTCGTAGATATTGGGGATGAAATTTTAACTAATTCAAATGGGAGGGGATTGGAACAAGTTGTGAATAGTGTTCAAGGCCAATGGTCATCTTAAAGATTTTGACAAAGTGACAAGGAGAAGGAATTCGAACTGCATAGGGGCAGAGACAGAGTCAGAAATTTCTTCTAGTGGGGGCAACAGAAAATAACTAAGAAAACCTTATTATAGTATGGTTATACGCAATATGATATTAATGATGATTTCAAATGATGATGTATTACAATTCCAATGTTACAAAAATTTCAATATAGTAGTGGAAAGTGACAAAGTGATGAGAAAAATATAAGTACATGATAGGCAGGAGAGGGTTTTTTCGGTTTGAATGACAGAACAAGAGCACTATTGCTCATAAAATATTTGATATGGAGTATAAGTAGAATGAATATATGTTAGATATTAAATACATATATTTTCTTTAAAGATAACCCATGTATATTATATAATTGTAATCTACAACTAAATAAACGAATTACTTGAGTGGTGGCATCTGCCCCAGTGAGCCTTCATTGGCTCCGTCCATGCATAGGGGAACAGGTACAACTCAAACCAACTAGTAAAATCTAACATTTTTATAATTAATTGAGGACAAGGATTATTCACCTCTTTACTACCATAAATAAATGCATTCTTTATAGGGATAACAACAATTCACCCGCATAAAGAAATCCCTACACTTTCTCCCCTCTCTCTTCCCTTGTCAAATAAGTTGGCCCAACACTAATATAAAATTTTCTCATTGAAAAAAAAAAACTGCCTTTATTTTTGTTAGAAGTCAGTTCTCTCCAAATCAAAAAATTACTTTTTTTTTGTGGAACTGTTATTGGCAGTCTAAAAATATCATTTTGCACTCTTCACAATTGTATTTTCATTATAAATATATAAATTTTGGAGTGCAAAATAAAATTTTGAAATGATAGTAACAATTCTATATTTTTTAATGGGGAGAGTGTGGCAAACTTTATAATTTTGGTATACGAAATATGAGACATATATCACTAAAATTGTAGAAAAAGAATTTAATCAAATCTCTAAAAGCAACAAGTGTTTAGTATTAAGATGCGTTACGTGGATATTATATAGGGTGTTGCCATTGTGCAATTCAATAATTTATTTAGAGTGTCAATAATATCTCTTATTATGTAATAGTTTAACATCTCCGATTAAGTTATAATTTATTTTGTTTCACATGTTAAAATTCATTTTTGCCGTGAAAGAAGCATTTGTACCAGTGATCTCACTTACAAGAAGGTGCGTGTTCATCTGACGAGCACGTAGTGATGAGTGCTTGGATTCTGGGGAGGGTTATAATAACCATTTGTCTCAAAACATTTAAGGCAGAATCTTTATCAAATGTAAATTCAGAATATGATTCACTTATAATTTTCCTTTAGCATCGGTACAAAGGAGGCCTTAGGCCAAGGTTGAGGAAGAGCGAGAGTTAAAACTCTTGTCTTGAGCTTGAATACTCTCTGCTATTGTATGTACAAGTCCTCAATTATTATCACTCGTGCAAAGTACTCTTAGTAATTAACAGGCCGAATTCTATACAGCCATTATCTACCTTTGGCTGTATGATTCAGCTAGGGTTCTGCTATTGAATTATATATACATGTGTGTGTGTGTGGGGGAAAAGCAAATCAAACGTGCACTATATCTTAAATCTCATTGCTTAGTCCCCAGTGCTTGACACTCTCATTAACGCTGATCTCAGCGATGTTTATAGTTGTTTTTCCATCAGCAGCGGGCGGATCATAAGGCGAATCCTCCGAAAATTCCGTTGGCAATGATTTCCAGTGTAGGCGGGGCTCCCAGTCTGCTTCCCTAAGCACCTTCAGTATCTCCTCTCCCACAATCTTGCTCCCTTCGGATGAAAAATGGACTCCATCCCTGGACAGATCAGCATCATACACACACCAAATCGTTAGATAAGTGGAATTGTTAAACGTTTGGGAGCTGTTATTGACACTCCAAAAAGGTCATCATGCACTTTGCATTTGTGAAATAAATAAAGGTCGTACCCAGTGCACAAGGCTCCCGCTTTACGCAGGGTCTGGGAGAGGTGAATGTCGGCTAGCCTTACCCCCATTTATGGAGAGGCTGCTCCCAAATTTGTGAAATAAATAATAAAGTAGAAATGCAAGATGATATTTTCAAAGTGCCAATAACAACTCCTTATCTGATTAAGTGGAAAGACAATTTATAATATGAAATTGAACATACGTAAAGCACGTAGTAGACCAGTCTTTTCTTTTTTGAATTGAAGTCCATAAATCAACACCTTTGATATCTAACTCCCGGCACACCTCTAAACAAGCATCTGAATATTTTTTGCAGGACTCGTTTGTTCGCTTCTCTGGCGGAACATAGTCACTGGCTTCATGAATTTGTTCCTCGTTGACAGGAGGAGCAGTAAGAAAGATAACGCGAGTTTTTTCTGAAAGACTCTGGCAACCAGATGAATCTGTTAGTTATACTGTTAGAATTATATGCATTACGCGCCAAAAAAGTTGTTTATACAAATGTCATCCATATCTTGCAGATTTTCACCTCTCTACAGATTATTACCTTTAAATGTTTAGCAATCTTTCTCATATTTTCGATATATTCAGGAAGTGGTACATGAGCGCCTAGCCCTGACGGATGAGGATCCATCGAATCATTACCACCGAAATAAACTATCACCAAAGATGGCTGAATTTTGGCATCCTGTATATGTCAATTATAATCACACAACATTAGCATCAAAACTACATGTATAAGTACGTATTAGGAAGAAGCATCTCCTATGCAGTTTCCGGACACCGATTGTATGAGCTATATTCTATATGTTCTTGAACCTGAGTTCTGATTCAGTACACACACCCGCAAACGCACAGACATACAATTAGACGTACTGCTCATATGGCGTTGACACAGATATCAAACATGTCACTCGTTAAAGTGAATTAATAAACTCCTTGAATGCATTATCCCTCAGTTAAAGACCCTCAGGTAAGATCTCCATATACACGCACCTTGGGAAATACTTGATCCAAAACCAGCAAAGCACGCCTCGAGTTCCAACCAGCGTATCCTCGCACCAGTACGTCGGCCTATATTCCCGAAGAGATTAAGGTCGGTAATGCCATTAACATGGAACTTTATCTAGGACATGAAAATGTAGGGCCTATTTGATAAGCATTTCATCTTTAGTTTTTAGTTTTCATATTCGTGTTACAAATGGAGGAGAAATTGTACCAGAAATTCAGATTTCATCGCCATGCTGGTTCACACATTGTTTTCCAATTAGTATTATGCAATATTGTATCACAAAGTAAAAGAGAATTAAGAGACGGTTTTTAATAAAGAGTGCACGAAATTTATGTCTTCGAAAAAGAAAATCACACTAGTTTTTTTATAAGCAATTATAAAAGTGAAATTAATTGATCATATGTATATAAATATTCTTGAGGAAAAGAGATGACGATAAAGAAATTTGATGAAGTACCTTACGAGCATAGAGGTCAGCGAGAATGGCACTCCATCCTCCATTGCCGAAGCTGAACTGGACAATGGACGAGCCAAATATCACAAACTGAGGTCTTGTTGGTCCGACCATCTCTCTCTCTCTCTCTCTCTCTCTCTCTCTCTCTCTCTCTCTCTCTCTCTCTCTCTTTCTCCTTTTTCTTACGTTATGGTTGGAGTAGGTTTAGGCTTCTATATATATAGTTGATTTTTTATTTACAACGCAAGTAGAAAAATCAGAAACAATTTTTGGCACCAAGTTGATTACCCTAGATATAGGGGGAGGGGATTCAAACTCGGATTTAAAGGGAAGGAGATCCAAACAAGTTGCCAAAGTGTGCAAGGGGGCAAGGCCAACGGACATTTTAAAGAATTCTTTTTTTGGATAAAGTGATGTCCAAACTTCCAAGGAACGGCCGCGATCCTAATCAACTAGTCAACTCATGTCTTACATATTTGTGTTCAATTGAATTAAAAATAAATAAAAAAACAATTTAGAAATGAACGCTCTGGAAATACTAGAGGTGTACAATATGTAAACAAATAATTCACTCGACACAATTTCATCCTCGTTCATTTTTCCGAAGAGGGTTTTATTAATTTGAGTTCGACCCTTCTAGGCTACGTGCCTATTAATTGCAACCCTTCTTTTGGAAAAGGAATACCCTTTGATTCCAATTTGAATAAATAGTAATTTGGGGATTTTGGTGTTTATTTGATTTTGTGACTGCACCTAGGTAGAACCCTAGATTGCCTACGTACCCTCGTTGAGGGATCAAGTCACTCGTAGTTCTTTATGTATTTGTTGGGATTTGATGCCTTGTGCATTTTCAACTCATGCAGGCAATGAGCATTTGATGCCTTATGCAGTTTTAGCTCATGCGCGCGAAGACTTTGAGCCATTGGAGCGTTTGATGCCTTGTGTAGTTTTAGCTCTTGCGGGCAAGGACTTTAAACCATTGGAGTGGAATATGGCTTAGTGCCATTTGAGATTTGATGAGGCTTTGTGCCATTTGACCACTTCGGTAATTAAAGGGAATTTGATCCATGGCGTGAATTTCACTAATTTGAAGTGGTGAGTCCATCAAGTTTTGTACTTTGAGATGGTTCACATTCATAGTATTGAAGTGGTTCGAAGTTGTCTATATTTGTATTGCTTTTGTCCTCCACTTTGCTCCGTGTCTTGATTTGATCTTGGCCCAACGATTAACAATGACCACCCAAAAGATTTTGAAGACAAGCGTTAATTCAATCATGCCCATGAATTAATTTAAGCCATAAGTTGCGTGGGTTTGTCCTTGTGGGATAACCAACCTTCACTAAAGTCATGACAAACTTTGTCTCTTCACCTACTTAATTGCTTGCTGGAGATCTTTATTCATATTCCTAACTTAGGAATTTGAATGAAACTTGGTTAGCAACTACACTAATTTTGGTGCACCTTGAGCCTGAGTGTGCCCTTCAACGCTAGCAACAAGCTTCTTTTCCGGACAATCATTTGGTCAACTTTGTGCGTTAGTGCAATGGTAGGCTTTGAGCTTTGCTTTTGAGACTGCCATCATGATTTGGAGAGGACCATGAAATTAATCCATTGCGTTCCTTGTTTACATTTTTCTATGCATGTGATTGGGTATAAACGAGGGAATATGTGTGTGGAATTTAGCGGTTTTATACCATTTGATATTTGATACAACTTTGTGCCATTTGGGATTTGAATAATTAATAGGTAAATGACCCATTAATTAGAATCTGAGTATGACAATCTAGAAGGGTTTTAGAGCCACGTCGCATTCACTTGATTTTTTAAAGGGAACTTGATGGTGCTTTGACTTGTTTTGTTGCACTTATTTTTCTCCCCCTTTTTTTGTTTGGTGTCAATGAGATGGGGTTGCCCACTTTTTCTTCCTTGGTTTTCTTTGTCTTGGGACCCCTATCAGTTTGTCTCTATCTCATATTTTCTTTGTTCTTCATATGAGCAACATTCCCTATAAAATTAGGAACTTTGTTGCGTGAGCAGCATCCATTAAATGGAAATCTAGGAACTGTGCTTTGCAGACTCCTCTTTTACTCTTTGTAGAATTTGTAATTACTTGGTCAAAGTAGCAGGAGTGAATTTAGTTTATATAAACCAGGGATTTGTTCCGGTTTCATGGTTGCGTCTAAAATTTGATATCAGACTGCCTATGTATCCTTAACGGAATCAAACCGGCGTAGTTTGTGAAATATTTGATTTGGATTTGTAGACTTGTGTTTAGACTTGACAAAATGAGAAGCCAATTGGATTTATTTAAAACCCATATATATGACCTTCGGTAATCGCCTAATAGGCTTTGTAAAATAGGACCTTGATTTGTCTTTTCCTTAAGTAGCTCAGGACTTGAAGACAAAAAGTGGGACTCCAAGTCCCACATCAGGTACATTCTACACGTTAGAGAAGCTCATATTTTCCTCCCTTGCTGCAACCTTTGGTGTATTTGAAACTCCACAAATTTGACTTATGAATCATACATAATGATGACTAAAATTAATAACTTAGTTGTAGTCATGATTGATATTTAAGTCACATGAGTTGCCGAGGTAGTAAGCCTTTTTTGGATGTTTTTTTTTTGGTTTACATCCACTTGTTGTCCACTTGCTCTCCATGTGATGCTTTCGGTGCTTAGCAGAAGCAAAGAGGATAAAGAAAGGCTTTGAATCAAAGAGAGAGAACAAGGCCCTTTTTTATCTGGACTTTTCAACTTCAAACTTCCAATGCCACGTGAGTGGCTTTCCTTATGGTGATGCATGATCAGGGTTTGCCATCCTTTCACCATTTTCTAATAATATTTTGTCCCTTTTTCTAGGGAATCACATGCATGGCATCCCCATTTGTTTGCTCTTCATCACGTGCTATTTGCATTTCCTTTCTTCATGGAACTTATGAAAGCTTTGGAGTCTTTTAAGAAAATTGCAGCGACTTGTCTTCGATCTTCGAAGCAGCGACATGTCTTAATATTTAGAGTAGCGATCATTATATGAGGAAGGCAACAATGCTCTTTGTTATCACTACGAACTCCATAGAAACGATAGGAAAACAGGAAGCCCTTTGTGCAGTAGATTTTTGGGAGCCTCATTTTGACCTTTAAATAGACTTTTAGAACCCCATGTTATACTGGTTTCCTTCAATTAATCCTTATACCGTCATCGCATTGAGGGTGATCAACAAAAGAAAGAGTACATTCATTTCCAGCAATCCTTCTATGCATCCATGCGCATCCATTTTTCTACAACTCCTGGCTGCCTTGTTTAGTCCTAAAATGAACTCTTATGTGGCCTCTTCTTTCTCGTTGTCCGTGACTAACGACAACAATAATTGTCCGTACGAATCCATGAGCTTGCCACCTGGATCATCATGCTCAGATTTGTGCGGTGGTTGTGTAATGGCGGCGTTGAAGTCGTTGGTGCTGTCCTTGGCTTTGTCTTCTGTTTGACATCAGAAGTGGTGATGCAAATGTTGCCTTCTTTAACTTCTTCACACTGACCACCGTTGCCATCTTTTTCTTTAAACCTCTGTCGAATTTGTTGATAGTCTGGATTCGTGTGCCCAACTACATCACTTGGTTCATCGCCCTCAAATTGCGGATTCCACTGCCCTTGGGCTTCTTCTAGAAGATTGCTGGAGACGACAGTTGAAGAGCGATGGTATTGTGGTGTTTGGTTGATGCAGTGCTTGAAATCTTTAATTTTGAGAAGATAGAGCATGGTGCCGGGACTCCCACGGAGCTTTCGTATAGAGCATGGTGCCGGGACTCCCACGGAGCTTTCGGGGAGCATGGATCACTTGGTTGGAACTTCAAGGGTGGTTTAGACCACCCACAAGAAATTCATGGAGCTGACGGCAGTGGTAGGGAACAAAGCTCTTGTGTGTTTTTGTTCTCTTCAGATTTAGGCAGAAAGAAAACATGTGGCTGCTACCATTTTTGGATTGCTTCATGTTGTTGTTGTAGGTATAGAGGAAGGTAGGGGTTGCTAGCGTATAGGGTTCTTTGCTAACAAAAGTTTATTCAAGAAGACACCTACCTGCAAAACAAAATTACTGGAAACAAAGAATGAAGAGAAGAGAAACGTAGGTTTTATACTGTCTGATTGTTGTTTGTGGTTTGTTCCCCTTCTCTGCAAGACTCAATTCAGAATCGCCGGTAATGGGATTGGTTCTTCGTTGCTTATTTTCTCTCTAAATTTCTGCAGAGTCCTTCCTGTTGGAATATATTAGTATTTGAGGTATTATTTTGTTTGAGTTTTCTTATAAGTTTAGTTTGGGTCTAGCCTGTTAGCATTAGGGTTATGGTTAGTTTATTATAAATAGAGTGCTTTGTTATTCATTAGAAAACAAGTTAGTCACAATGTAGCCTTCTAGGGTTTTATAGCCGTTCTGGCATTTTCGTTATTCAACTTGGTATCAGAGCAGGTTTGATCATTCGGGATTTAATCAGTTCTTTATTGGTATCAATTAGTTGTTTGTTTGATATTAGTTTTCAGTATTAGTTTTGGAAAAAAATAGAAATAAAAATTGCTGAAGCTTTGTCGTGCCTCACCACCCGCTGCTTGAATCGATTCTGTGGCTATCCATTGAACTCGTTGTCCGCACCACCACCCGTTGAATCAGCTGCTTCCCTTGCTGTACTCGCATTCCCTGCCGTCGCTACACTAGAACTAACCCACCAAGTCTGCTGTCTCGATCAGATCCCGAAGAACTTGCACCGCCAACTGTTACTGCATGAACCCACCTTCAACCTCGATTCATCACTGTCCACCATTTGTTTTCACGAAGCCCAGATCCGAGAACCCAAACTCTGATCGAGTTCGTCTTTGCCCTGCACTTTGCCATAGCCTCATAGCCGCACCACTGCACCTACAGCTTGACGCGCTTCCGCAATCCGTCGTCCCTCGTTGTCATGTGCATAAGCCTTGAAAACCTTGCACCCACACCCCTTGAATCTGCATCTTTGTACCCGTATCTGTCTGCATCAAAACTTGTTTTTGCGTTGCCATCCCAAGAAAGAGGAAGAAGGAGATAAAAATAAAAATAAATAAAAAAGACGAACGCACAAAAAGAAGAAAGAGGATGAAGGAGAAAAGAGGAAAAACATGAATTAAAAAGGAGAAGAAACAGAAGAA